CCTTATCCTTGATCTTTCCCATTTTAATTACTGTGTGTCTTGGTGTTGTCTTCCTTGGGTCCCTTGTGTTGGGATATCTGGGCACCTCCATGGCCTGAGAGACTATCTCCTTCCCTAGATTGGGGAAGTTTTCAGCAACTACCTCCTCAAAGACACTTTCTATCCCTTTCTCTCTTCTTCTAGTATCCCTATAATATGAATATTGTTCTGCTTGGATTGGTCACACAATTCTTTCAATATTCTTTCATTCTTAGAGATCTTTTTTTCTCTCTGTCTCAGCTTCTTTGTATTCCTCTTCTCTAGTTTCTATTTCATTTATTGTCTCCTCCACCGTATGCAACCTGCTTTGAATACCCTCCATCGTGCTCTTCAATGATTGGATCTCCAACTAGAATTCATTCCTGAGTTCTTGGATGTCTTTCCGTACCTCCATTAGAATGTTGATGATTTTTATTTTGAACTCCCTTTCAGGAAGAGTCAGAGGTCCAGATATCATTTAAATCTTTCGGGAGTTGTATTAATAATTTTACTCTGGACAAGGTTCCTTTGGCGTTTCATGTTTGTATATGGCGCCCTCTAGTGTCCAGAAGCTCTATTCTGGAGCTGCTCAGCCCCTGAAGCAATGTTGGGGGTTGCAGGGGAGCAGTACAGGTGCCTGGGGAGAGGAAAGAGCTGTTCCCGCCTCCTGGCTCCTGTGCCTGTCTCCACTGCCTGAGCCAGTGGGCCGATCACACAGGTATAAGTTTTTGTCCCAGAGCAGCCGGATATGGATCCCTCCTTTCCACAGGTGGCCGGAATCCCAGTCTCCCCAGGAACTCTGCCTGTACTAACTTTCCAACCCAGTAGTTATGTGAGTCTCATGAAAGCACCATGAAATGTAGGTTTGTGTTCCCAGCGCAGGTCTCCGGAGCTAGGTATTCAGCAGTCCCAAGCCTTCCACTCCCTCCCTGCTCCGTTTCTCTTCCTCCCGCTGGTGAGCTGGGGTGTGGGAAGGGCTCGGGGCCCGCGGAGCCACAGCTCTGGTACGTTGCTCTGTTTGGTGAGGTCTGCTCTTTTCTCCAGGTGTGTGCAGTCTGACGCCATCCTCTTTCCTGTTGCTTTCTCAGGATTAGTTGCGCCAACTATATTTTCTAATTGTATCCAGTTTTAGGAGGAAGCCTCTGTCTCTCCTCTCACGCTGCCATCTTTCTAATTTAGTACTTTGATCTCTCCCATTTCAGACAAGTAGTAAGAACACTGAAAAGGAGTTATCTAGCATTAAAAGGTGAGTTTAAATTTCTCACCTTTGTTTTTCATTTTATGAGAATTTTAAGTTTTAAAGAGTATATGACGTAGGAAATTTGAAAATGTGGTGGAAAAAGATGCATACTATTTTCACCCTAACAACTGTTGTTTTTGTATATTTCCTTTCAGGTATTTGCATATGCACTACAACTAGGATATAACCTTCATGAATGCAGGGATTCTGTCTTAGTAACCAGACCTGTGTCTGGCACATAATATATATTCATTCAATGTTTAATGAATGAATGAAATGACATACATTTTTACTTAGTTATGTTCTAATGTATATACAATTTTGTGTTGTGATTTTCATTAACATGGTTTCATGTTACTAGACTCTTTAAATTTATTGAATAATTGCATAATCATTAAGCAGGTGGAATTTACTTAATCTCCTCTTACTCCCTTGGTATTTGGAATTGTTTTCTATTTAGTTTTGTGTGATTGTTTGTGTGCTTGTATTTGTTGAAGTGTGTATGTGTGATAGTGGATTATTTCCTTAGGATAGAGTCCAGAAGTGAAATTAGTGAGTCAAATATTATGGACATTTTCATAGCTTTTAGTATACATTGCTGAATTGTTTTCCAAGATTTCGTTTCTTCTGAAAACCTTATGTGAACTTCTCTGCCACTAGAAATATATACAAATGTGTATGTCTAACTGCAGCCTACCAGCTTTTATAAGTGAGAAGTAGTATCTATTGTTTAATTTGATTTCCTTAGTTGCCAAGAGGTTGAATTCATTTTCCCACATTTATTTTCTAATTGTGATTTTTCTTTTTTGAACCATGCTTTACTTATTTTGACTGTTGAGATTGGTTTTACTTCTAAAATTTAACTTTTTAATTTTCTCAGCTACAAAGCCAATTTAAGTGGCATGGTCATTAGTGAAGATACTGTTTGTAAAGTTACCAAAGGCTCAATAATCTCTATGGCTCTCCACCCATCAGAAATTAGAACTTTAGTGGCAGCTGGGGCCAAAACTGGCCAAGTTGGACTTTGGGATTTGGTAAGTTATTATTAATTTTTTGAAGATATTCATGTTTGCCTGAAGTAAATTGTCTGCAGGAGAATAGCCTAGAGCCATGTGTTTATAGATGTTATTTGAAATTTGTAGTTTTGTGCTTTGTGATTCTAAATTTTAGAAGTCTGGAGTAATTTTAATTTGCTTTATAGAACTTTCATTTTTTAGCTTGAGTATCACTGTTATCTGGGCATAACTTCCAAGAAACTTTATTACAACTGTAAATGTATATAAGGATTACACAAAGTTTTCAGCTTTCTCATTTTATTTAAAATATAGTTTCCAAGCTGGATCAAAATATTTTCCCAGGTGTCTGCTTAGGAAGATCCCAGTCATTTTTGATGAGTCAAAAATACAAATTGAATTCCATTCTTTGTACATATAACTCTGCATTGTTTGCTTTCAGTAGTTACAAAATTAAGAAAAGCCAAGTTAGTGTTTTCTGAATTTATTTTCTAATTGGGGAAGAAGAAAAAAGACATGAAAATGGAATAAGACAAGAATGCCCACTCATACCACTTTTATTCACCATAGCATTGGAAGTCCTAGACATAGCAATCATGCAAGAAAAAAAAATAAAAGGCATCCAGATTAGTAAGGAAGAAGTAAAAGGGTCAGTTTTGTGGATGACATGATACTGTATATAGAAAACCCTAAAGACTCTACCAAAGCACCAGTAGAATTAATACATGGATTCAGTAAAGTCACAGGATACAAAATCAACATATAGAAATCTCTTGCATATCTATATACAAATAATGAACTAACAGAAAGAGAAATTAAGAAGAGAGTACCATTTATAATCTTATCAAAAGGAGAAAAATATCTAGGAATAAATCTAACCAAGGAGGTGAAAGACCTGTACTCTGAACACTCTAAGAAACTGATGAAAGAAACTGAAGAAGACATAATTAAATGGAAAGCTATTCCATGCTTGTGGATAGGAAGAATTAGTATTGTTAAAATGGCCATATTGCCCAAAGCAATCTATAGTTTCGGTGCAATCCCTATCAAAATACCAACAGCATTTCTCACTGAACTAGAGCAAATAATCCTAAAATGAGTATGGAACCTCAAAAAACCTAAATAGCCCAAGCATTCTAGACAGAGAAGAACAAAGCTGGGGACTTCACGCTCCCCGATTTCAAGCTACCCTACAAAGCTACGATAATCAAATATATAGATCAATGGAACAGAATAGAGCACCCAGAAATAAACCCAGGCCTTCAAGGCCAATTAATACATGACAAAGGAGGCGAGAATATGCAATGGAGAAAAGATAGTCTCTTCAGTAAATGGTATTGGGAAAACTGGACAGCTACATGCAAAAGAGTGAAACTGGATCACTGTCTTACACTGTATGCAAAAATAAACTCAAAATGGATAAAGACCTAAATATAAGACCTGAAGCCAGAAAACTCCTAGAAGAAAACATAGGCAGTCAACTCTTAAACACCAGCATTAGTAACTCTTTTCTGGATGTGTCTTCACAGGCAAGGAAAACAGAAGCAAAAATAAACAAGTGGGACTACAACAAACTAAAAAGCTTCTGCACAGCAAAGGAAACCATCAACAAAATGAAAAGGCCATCTACTGCATGGGAGAATATATTTGTGAATGGTACCTCCAGTAAGGGGTTAATATCCAAAATAT